GAAGTCCAAGGCTTTCATGGCCGGCATCCATAGTTTTTTGCAAGTTTTTCGGTCTATGTGAGGCTCACCAACAGACCAACACACAGATTAACACATAAATCGCTTCCTCTCAATCAAGGGTCACACAGTATATATACCCCGCACACTTCCATGCCACCATTCTCTGAAGATGCCAGCCACAGATGCAGGCAAAACGTCAGGAATAAATTTTCTAGAACACAGCCACATAGCCCAAAAAAACTACAATGAACTATGGTACTAGTCCATGGTTCATCAAGAAAGAAAGAACAAAATAAAGAAATTGACACCCCCCTCCCCCAACATCAGGCAGCACAAGAATCCCTGATCTATGTAATTGTGGTTTTAATAGCCTCGCATCACCCATGACTGACAGTTCAGCTGTGTTGCAATTTGCAAAAATACAGTCACACACTCCTTGTTTCCCCAAACACTGGGGAAGTTCCAAGGGCAGCACTTATCCTTGGCACCAATTGAAGGTTTTCTCCCACTGCAAATATCAGAGATTCCAATCTGGATTTCAGCGGGAGAAAGGGTTCAAGCCCATTTCTCCCCATATCACCACACCATTATATTTCCCTCCTCTCATGCCAACATTTAAAAACAAACAAACAGGCAAACCCATTTATTGTTTCTCTCCATAAAAGCACCCCATTACATTTCCCAACTGCTATGCCAGCTTTTTAAAAAATTTAACTTTCCCAAAAGTAAACTATGTGATTTTAATGTTGGACTACAACTCTGGAGACTATGGTTCGAATCCCTGCTCGGCCATAGAAACCCACTGACTGATCTTGGGTAAGTCATATTCTTTAGGCAAAAGCAACCTCCCTCTGAATAATCCTTGCCTAGAAAACCCATAGATTCACCTTGGGGGCTCCATAAATCAGAAATGACTTGAAGGCACACAACAACAAATTGCCAATAAGAGCCAGTAAGGTGTAGTGGGTTGAGCACTGGACTATATCTTTGGAGGCAAGGGTTTGAATCCCTGCTTGGCCATCAAAACCTGTTGGATTACCTGGGCAAGTCACACTCTCTCAGCCTCAGAGGAAGGCAAATGTAATCCCTTCCCTGAACAAATCTTGCCAAGAAAAACTCATTATTGGGTCACTTTAGGGTCACCATAGGAAAATGATTTGAAGACACACAACAACAAAGGGTCCCTTGACACAGTTTAGCTTATTTTTTAAAAAAAATTGCCATTTTGCAAAATTAGAGGTGGATTTCCATCCATTTCTAGGTTTTTGTTTTTATTTTATTTTATTTTATTTTGACAGATCACAAACTATCAGTGAAACCTGGGGTAAAAAAAAACAAACCTGGCACCCACAAGGAAGGGATGGTGTTTTATTTATTTAATATGTTTATTCATTAAATTTATACACCATCTTTCTTCCAATACAAGACCAAATGTGGCTTACAGAGCTGAAACAAGATTAACTAAAAAATTGACAATAAAAGTTAAAAGACAATCTAAAATCATCACATCAAACCCCATTCTTTTTTTTTTAAGGATATACAAACATTCAAAAACACAACAAAACTGAAATAAAGCGCACACATTCCATAAAAAGACGTAAGCCTATTTAAAAGCTTTAAAAAAAAACTAAAAGGGCTTTGTTCCTTTTTGAGTTCCCAAATTTAAAGCCACCTCATATTTTTTTTTTAAAAAATCAAACTTTTTCTTCTCCACTGCTGCGCACCCTGAGATTGGTTTTCCCACCTGGAGATGTGGAGAAGCATAATAATTCCCTGAGAGTTCATCCAGAGACATGACACCTGGGACTCACTCACAGTACACAGTTATAGCACTATAGATTTCTGTGGGTTTTTCAGGCTGTGAGGCCGTATTCTAGCAGAATGTATTCCTCACATTTTGGGCCTTATCACACGGTGTCTAAAGCAGTCCCATCCCTGCGCCATCACGGTTTTTTTCCCCGTGTTTCCACACGACATCGCAGAGAAACCCCGCCCATCCCTGTGCCATCCCTGCGCCATCGCGGATCCTTGTCCCGTGTTTCCACACGACGTCGCAGAGAAACCCCATCTATCTCTGCGCCATCCCTGTGCCATTCCGGCATCACCCGGCGTCATCCCCATTCTTTTGAATGCCGGGTTCTTTTGGGAATTAATTTGCTGATGCCAGAATGATGCTGCTTTCTATACCGCAAGGGAAAAGGAACCGCGGTGGCGCAGGGATGGCACAGGGATGGGACTGCTTTAGACCCCCATGTGATAAGGTCCTTGCCTGTGTCTGTGTCTGACATCTTCAGAGAATGGTGGCATGGAAGTGTGGGGGGTATATATAACAATATATTATTTTACCTATGTACCATAATTTTACCTATACATACCCCACACACTTCCATGCCACCATTCTCTGAAGATGCCAACCACAGATGCAGGTGAAATGTCAGGAATACATTCTTCTAGAACACGGCCTCACAGCCCAAAAAACCCATAAAAACCTATGGATGCCAGCCGTGAAAGCCTTCAACTTCACAATTATAGCACTGTTATTCTACTTTAACCTTCCATGGCTCCATCCTATGGAATCCTGGGACTTGTAGTCTAGTCAAGCATTGGATCTCCTTGATTGAGAATTCAAAATGCCCCTCTCTAAACTACCAGTCCCAGGATTTCATGGGATGGAACCATGGCAATTAAAGTGGAATCCTAGAGCTATCATTCTGTAGTGTGAAAAGGACCCTGGTAACTCTCAAAAAAATATTGCACTACGCTGTTACTTGGCTAGGGTTCAAAACACCCTGCAGACATAATACAGCTTGAGACTGCTTTAACTGCCCTGGCTCAATGCTAGGGGATTCTGGGAACTGTGAGACATTTAGCCTTCTCTGTCAAAGAGCTCTGGTGCCACAACAAACTACAATTCTCAGGATTCCCTAGCACCAAACCAAGGGCCTCGGCAGACGACTAATTGAGTCGTCTTTGAGGCAAGGAAGAGGAGGGGCAGCCACACGTGCGGCGCCCCTTCCTCTTCCTGAGGCCGTCCTCGGAGCCGCCGGCCCTCCGCACGGCCGGCGCTCCGGGGACAACCTCCCGCCGCAGCGTCCTCACACGCTGCGGCGGAAAAGACAGGGAAAGTGAGCCCTATGCTTTTAGGGCGCACTTTCCCTGTCTTGTTTAAGGAGCGCTGATTTAGCGCTCCTTCCAGGGACGCCGCCGGAGCGCAGTGGTGTGGAGGCTGCACTCCGGCGGCGCTCTGTCCGGCGGCATCTCCAGCGCCTCCGTCTGCTTCCCCCCCAAGGCAATCAAAGTGGTCTGAAACTGGATTATTTATCCAGTGTGTTTTGGACCTAAGATTCCACTTTGACTGCTATGGCTGCCTCCTGGAATTTACAGTGTAGGAGGCATTTAGCCTTCTCAGCTAGGGAGCTCTTAGGCTTCACTAAACTACAAACCCCAGAATGACACAGGAGGCAGCCATAGCGCTGGAATAATAGCCCTACAACAGTGTAGTGCAATTTTGACCTCAGACTCAGACTGGCAAACTCTGAATGACAAACTTTTCTTCATGCCCTGGAATCTCTGCATGCCAGTCTCTCCATCTATATATGTAAAACCCCTTCCTACATCTGTATTTCCAGCTCCCAATGTCAACAGCCTTCTACAGCCCAGTTTTTGGAACCGTACTGAGAATATCTTGCATGATATTGAAGTGATGGAAAACAACAGGCTGCTAAAAAGTGTTCCGTGTCCTTTTCTTAAAGCCTTTTACAGCAAGGCTGACTTGTGTGCAAACAGAAACACCACTGGCACATAAAGGGCCTGTGCCTTTCCCATTTTATACTACACTTCCTGCCATCCCTGCTCATTGGCCATGCTGTGTGGGGCTGATGGAAGTTGTAGTCCAAAACAATGTGATGCAATCATATGGGAGAAAACTAGTCATCCAGAGAATGATGGAGCGCAGGAACAGCAGAGTCACCAAAATAGCATTTTGAAAAATTAAAAAAATCCCTTCTTCCTTTCTGTATAAGCTAATAAACTGTACATTATCAAGATGGACTTTTGATCAGAGGTCATCCAGTCAGGACTGGTCATACCTCAAAGTAAAGTGAGGCATCTGTCCCAGACTGTGGGTGTCATTCAGAGTCAGGAAATGGGTTACTTATTTAATTTGTTATTCTAGTACTCTTTTGAACTGCCATAGAATTCCTTGTGGGATTTTCTGTTTCATGTGTCAAAATAAAAACATGCCTGGCTTTGGATACGATGCTCTCTTACTTGAGTGAGTGCATAGGAAGGGATGCAATTTGCTGTTCAGCCCTTCTTATTTTTTTATTTTTAAAACATTTTGATCAGTGACTAAAAGAACACATAAAAACACAAAGACATACACATACCATATACATACACCTCCCCAATATATGCACATTGTATTTTCTTTTTCTGATATTGATTTATATTTTCTTTCTAATCTTCCCAAATCTCTACACCTTCCAATTCTACTAATCCCTTTCTTTTCTTACTTTGATTTTCTTATTCCTTCTGTACTCTTCCCTCCATCTCTCATCTTTCGTTTCCTTCTCTTTCTCATGTATCTTTCTTTCTTTCTTTTCTTTTTTAAGACTATCATATTAATCTAAAACCTACATACTCACAACAATCCACTTTTCACTTACTCATGCTTTCTTATCAACATATATTGCACCATCATTCAAAATAATTCAGCCCTTCTTATTCAGGGAGTTGCTGTAGGGTTGCCAGAGCTCCTATACCTTTATTAGTTGTGTAGAAGAAGGAATTTCAGCAGGTATCGCTTGCTAACCTTGGTGTGTGATAAACAGCATCTGTTGAAATTCCTTCTTCTACCATCAGTTATAGGTGCCCTCTTCAATTTTCATTCTGGTAACCCTAGACTTGCTCGCTATCACAAGCATTGGATTCTGTGCAATATGAAAGGTGGGATATAACTAAGGCTGCATTTGCACTGCAGAAATAATGCAGTTTGACAACACTGTGTGGCACAGTGGTTTGAGTGCTGGACTGTGACTCAGGAGACGTGGGTTCAATTCCCTGCTGGGTGATCTTGGCCAAGTCTCGTCCTCTCAGCCTCGGGGAAGACAATGGAAAACCTCCTCTGAAAAAATCTTGCCAACAAAACCCCATGATAGGTTTACCTTAGGGTTGCCATAAGTCAAAAATGACTTGGAGGAGCACAACAACTCAATGGACGTTATCACACGGGGTCTAAAGCAGACAAAATCCACACTAAATCC